TCATTTCTATCAGGATTGTTTTCACTATTCAGAACAATTTGTGATCCTAAATAAATTTTATAGCTGTGGGCTCTCCTTGATGGCACACTGGGTTAAAGTGCAACACTGTAAAGCTAGCCACAGCTGCTTCAGCAGGAGCTCAATCCCCAACCGTGGAGCTGACCCAATGACACAGCAGACCTCTTCTGTCTCACCACTGCTCCCCTCAGCAGTGTTTTTCCGTCAATCTACCTGTTCTGCTCTCCACTCTGTTGCTGTGAATCCTCTCACCACCCCTGCACCTCTAGCCTGTACCCCAGTTCTGTCTGCATAAATGAATAAACGTTTAAAAATAGTAATTTTTTTCTTTTAAAAAAATATTTTTTTAAAGGTTTATTTATTTATGCAAACAGAACTGGCATACAGGCCAGAGTTGCAGGGATGGTGAAAGGATTCACCAGAGACAGTGGGAACAGAACGGGCCGACTGACAAAAGTACACTGCTGAGGGGAGCAGTGAGCAGGTCAGGAGAGGTCTGCTGTGCCGTGTGGGTCACCTCCGGGGTGGGGATTGAACTCATGCTGAAGTGGCTTTAGCTTCTTAGTTCTGTGCTTTAACCCACAGCACCACCAAGGAGGGCCCAAAGAATAATAAATTTTAAAGTTTCCCAATTTCCTTGAAAACATAAAGGGTACAAAAATACTTTAAAACAACTATATGAGAAATGTTAAATGAACTCCCGGAAGGTCAAAGGCAGATAGGTATAAATTCTCTTCTTGCCTGGAGAGTGTTTGGGGCGATTTGCGAGAAGAGCCTAACTTGGGTACCTTTGTAAATTATCTTTTTTGTCCTGGCTTTTTGGAATTTTTTTACCTTTGAATTTTGATAATTTAACAATGGTAGATCATAGTTTAAGTCGTTTTGCATTTAGAAATGCCAGTGTTCTCTGATTCCTGACATCTATACTTAATTCATTCCTTAGATTTGGGAAATTCTCAGTTATTATTCACTTGAATAAGGTTTCTACTCCCTTCTATTCTCTTCACCTTCTGGAATACCCATTGTTTTTATGTTTATGAGTCTGATACTTCTCAGTTTCCTTTTTTCTCCTAAGTCTTATTTCTCTTTTTTTAACTGAGTTATTTGTACACATCAGTCTTCTATTTCTGAAATCCTTCTGCCAGTTTAATTCTATTTAAATCACCTTCTACATTTGTCTTCATGTTATTCAGTCTTGTGTGGTATGTATCCTTTTAGATATTTTCATTGGTGAACTCTTAGTTCTTGGATCTCCTTTCAAAGAATTTACAACTGCCTACCTGCCTTGACTAACCTGCCTAGAGTTCATTTAGCATTTTTTATATAGTTGTTTTAAAATCTTTATCTGACAGACTGAGTCTATTTTTGTACTCTTTATATTTGTCCCAGAACTTCTGTTCTCCTTTTGCTTTCCCATCCTGTGTTCAGCTAGCCTTTGCTTCCTAGGCATGTGTGTTACCTTATTTGCTTTTTTGGTGGTGAGAGTGCTAGAGGTTTAGCTTTGTTTCTCTTCTTGGTTTAGCTTGGAGTGAGGTGGGGGCAGGAAGGGAGTCTGGAGCTTAAGTACTCAATCTCAGTTTTGTCAAGGAGTGAAGTTGATCTCCTCTGGCTCCTCTCCCTCCAAGCAAGATTAATTTAGTGCTTCAGTTGTCCTAACTTTCCACTTTGCCTCTGCTGCTCCTTTCTGCCACAGAACATGTTCTTGAACACTTGAATCTGGAGGGGGGGGCTCGGGGGAGGGAGGCGGGGCCGGGGGGCCTAGCTCTGGCGCACAAAGCTCCACACTGGGACTCAGTTGAGTTTAGCAGAAGGTGCCAGAGCAAGGTGTACGCCCCCTTGTCTGGGTGTGGTGGTAGACTGGCCACCACAGCAACTGGCTTCTCCACTTCAGCTGAGCTGCCTCCAAGGGACCCAGGCTACAAACTCTTCACACCTGCTTGACACTTTCCAAGGGATTAGTGAGTTCATTTACCCATCTCTCTGCTAATGGAGCCTTGCCAGATTGGCAATTCTTTGATCTCTTACTTCTGTGATAGGGGCTGGGGGATTGTTTTCCTTTACCATCACCAGTCACAGAATTCCCAGTGTCCAAGGTAGACTGCACTCCCATGTATGACTGCACTCCCTTTCTGCAGAGGTTTCTCCACGGGAAGTTCACAATGACCCCGGGTGCCCCCACTGTGGCATGAATGGTGACGCCTTGCTGACTCTGCTGGCCTGGGTATCTGCTCTCCTAGCCACTCTCCATCTCCCCTTGGCCTCCTCCCACTCTTCAGCAGCCACCAACCTTAATTCTTCACAGGAAAGTCCTGGTGAGTCCTAGGGCAAGTCAGGATAATTATGCAACTTCAGGGGCAGTGCAGGCAGGGACTTCAGGAGAGTTAAGGAGGGCTCCAGAGATAAGGGCAACCAGTTCCAATGGAGTCTAGTCAAACACCCCTCAGACCAGGGGCAACAGGACATTCTGGAACAAGGGTGATAAAATTATGCTAAGAGAATGGCTGGGACACAGAGACTCAGTTCTGGGCACAGAGACATTAAGGCATTAAGGTAAGTGAGACCACCGAGAACTAACCTATCACAAAGAGATTGGTGGAGCTTTAGCATAATATGGGAAGAAGGTCTATATTCCATGAGCTATGACTTCACTTCAGCTTCCTTGCCCTTTCCTGGCTTGGTTCCCCTGGCCTGGGAGTCCCACTTTGTTTCTGTTCCTTTTTGCAGTAAACTTTTTCTTCTCTTTAAACAAGTCTGCCTCTTTTTGCTTGGTTGCCTGAGTGTCAGCAAAGTTACGGCTATAGCTTCAGGAGACACCATGGTGGTCTAGAGGCTGGGGCTCGGCGCTGCCATTGCAGCCTGGGATCCATTCCAGGCTGGGAGACAGGGCCTGAACCCCTGGCATTTTGGTACCATGGGACTCTATGGAGAAACTTCTGAGTCTCCCCTTGAGCAAATATTACTTGTCTTATAGCTGTTTTTAGGGGAGGAGGTGGTCCTTACCACTTTATTACAATGGGTGGGTGAATCCCAAAAGATCTTTAATACTGTCCACTTTATCAATTTCCTTTCTTTTATGACTTGTGATTTTGGTGTCCAAATTTATGAAATCTTTGTTTACCCCCAAATAAAAAATGTTCATGTTTTCTTTTCGATGTTTTATTGTATTTCTTGCCTTTCCTATTTAGATCTATCCTGTAACTAAAAATAATTCTTTGACAATAATGTGCAGTTAGGAATCAAGAGTCATGCTTTAGAATTTTTTTGTGATTGCAAATTCCATTTTAGCTTGTAAATACCTCAAAGTACTTTTTGAAGAATTTGGTAGAATTCTCTGTTAGGAAATTTTAGTAAATTTATGTTATTAATCCACTGTCTTCCAGCAGGATTATTTCTTTCCTTAAGACAGTTGCCAGTCCTTTGAAGATAATCAACTTTCTTTTTCCTGGCTTTCTTTAAGATCCCATTATCTCTGTTCTGTGTCAGTGTGATATGTCTGTGCAAATTTATTTTTTACTGATCCTGCTTAAGATTCCCTGTGCTCCTTTGTGGAACATTATTTTTTTTTTATCAGTTCTGAAAGATTTTCAGCTAATTCTCTCTCCTTCTATAACTGATAACATATGTTCAACATGTTGTATCCCCATGTCTCTTATGCTGTTAAATATTTTTCTGTTTAATATTTTCCATGCAATACAGCAGCTTGGTGACATCATTTTGGATCTTTGAGGAAAATAGACCTAGAACACACCATTTGTACAACAGTTTCTTTGACAGCGTGTTGTGTAGATGAGTGCCCTGGTTTCCTTGAGGGGTGTAAGAGCCCCCAGCCACCTCAGCCTCCTCCCCATGTCCCCCGCAATAGCAGAGCCGCCCAGCCTTCCCAGCTGTGCCCGAGAGCAGACACAAGCACGCAAAAGGAGCAACATGTTCTTTTATTGATGCAAGTACTTCCAGTCACACCAACAACTGACATCCTGCCTTATGGTACAGCTTTTAAACTCAGAGCTCACCTCTAAATACCAAACATCATAGAGTACATATCAAATTGGGAAAATAAAGTAGCAAACAGAGACACTGTCAGGTAAGTACTAGAACTGATGACCCAGTGAGATGCACGTTGACGTAAAAGCTCCTTAACACATGTACAGAAAATGTTCTAACATTGTATTCAAATATATATTCTCAGGTTTGAAGCCTTTATCTCAAATACATAAACAAAGCAATAGTACTATCAATATACAATATGTACTATCTAGAACTTCTGGAAAGTGCAAACACACTGTGACAATACAGTGTCAATATTCTTGCTCCACCCAGGGCTGAGGGTGATGTCAGCAGCGGATCACGGAGCCACCTCTTTCCTGAGGCCTCGCCTGCTCCTCTCCAGGCTCTCCTGAGAGCTTTGGGAATTAGCAACTAACTAACCCACCCGTGCCCAGGCTGCTGGGCAACAGGCTTCTGCGGAAGCCAGGCATGTGGAATCCAGGTGAGTAGTTCATAGACCTGGCGCGCAGCGTGAAAGCCCACTGCCCCTGTGAGGGGTTGCGCGCTGTCCACCCCACTTCCGAGGGAGCAGGGCTGGGCCCTTTCTAGCCCAAGGCGTCAGAAAGTGGAGCGTATCCTCAAGTTAGGGTGTGGAAGATACCTCTGGATGTTGGGTGGTTTTATGTGAGTGGGCTCCAGCGGTTGCTGGCCTGGCTAAAGTTCTGGGTCTCAGATTCCACAAGGGGAGCCCCACCCAGAGGGCAGGAGGCAGGCCACTAGAGTACTGGTGTATGAGTTGCTTTTCACTGTCTGCTTGGTTTCAAGAACGGCTTTCAATGTCCCCATCCTCTCGTATACTTTGTCTTCTCTTTATCACCGCTAAGTGTGTCAGGTGCAGCCTGGAAAATGACAGTTCTACGACTGCCCCTAAAATGTAGTCGAACAATCTGCCAGACATCTTCCAACAGAAAATAAGCTGCCAGGTGTCCCTGCCCTTCCCCTCCCCGACCCCATAAATCCCTGATAAAGGAAAATGAAAATGTAAACTTTGGAAAGCCCATACTCAAAGGTTCACGTCCAGCATTATGCAACAGGCCTCCTCCTTGCTGGCACCTCACTGGCCTAGGCTTTGAGGGCAGCCCCGTGCGGCCCAGAGCAGAGCTTTCCCGGCACCTCCCCGGCGGCACTGGCTGGCAGCGGGCTAGAAGAACGGAGCGGGAGACCGGCCCTCTAGTACCCTCTAAGGCACTAACCCCGACATCAGAGACACTGGCTGGAAAGGCATCCAAGCAGGCAGGGCTCACGTTGATTTTGGTTGGGTATTTTTAAAATATTTTTGTAAGATGTTAATAATCAAAGGTAGAAAATAAAAATCTACATTTCATTAGAATAAGATGTTATCATGGATGCCATCTCCCATGATACTCTTTCCCCACCCTTCCCCAAAAGCAGGGCCCTGCCCTGTCATTTAAAGTAAACAAAAAAACTTCATTTGTAAGTGCCAAAGATTGATGCATGAAATAATTACCTTTTTTTTTCCATAAAAGTTATATACAAAATGGACCCCAACCAGTGAGGCCTCCTCATCTCAACCCATATCAATCGAGATTAAGACTCGGTTTGTGAGTGTGCTTCATCCAGCATCCGCTGCGTCCGCGCCTTCAGGCTCTGTTAAGGAGAGTGGTCCTACAGGGGAACAGGTTGCAAGGACATGATCAGGCAGCTGCAGGCCCACGTCTAGGGGCCTCAGGGAGAGTCTGGTTCCCCAGAAACCACCATCCTGGGGAGGAGTCGGGTGCACGCACCCCAAGGCCCCATCCTCCCACCAGGCTGTGTGGAGGTGTCCTCGCCGCCTTTCAGAGCAGCAGCTGCATCGTACCCAACCCAGTCCGCACCCTTCCCTGTAGACGGAGGCAGGGGTGGTGTCGGGCTCACGGGACTGTCTCTGGAGTTCTCCTACCTGAGGGTCTTCCAGCTGTCTTTCTCCATGTGGTTCTCGGGACCTTCGCTTTCAAAGGAGGCGATGAAGAGAGCTGAGAGAGAGGAAGCCCCTCAGAACCCATGTCCACGTTTGGTCAGTCTTTCTGCCACACCAGCTACCCCTTCTTGAGCTCTCCCTTCTAGGAAGGAACTGGACTGAAGAGACAGTGACACCTGCGCTGGCCCACGGGTGTCTGCTGTGTGGGGTTCAGGGCCTAGCACTCCTAGGTACCCTCCTTGGGGATGCTGAGGTTTCTGGTTCTGCAGTGGTGGCCCGACTCCAATCTGTGCTCTCAGGAGGCCTCTGGAGGGTGAGCCTGCTCTCTCCTCATCTGTTTCCTTCATCTGGGCTCTGGCCTCTGCCCACCACCCCCCTCCCACTCACCCACCCCGGAACTGAGCTTCCCCTGACCTGCTTCCCAGGATGACCCTGAAAGGCCCCTGGATGTGGGAGAGTCAAGAAAGGTGTGGGGAGGGGATGCCACGGGGAGCCCCTCACCTTCCTCACTGTAGATGGGCGCTGTGAGCAAGTAACTCTGAATCTTCTTGTCCTTCTCGAACGGACACTCTACCTGTGTCCATGTCATGAAGTCATGGATCTGCCTGGAGATCTCCCAAAATTTCTGAAGGGGCAGAAAACCAACCATTGTGACCAAGTAACTCATTGGTCACCTAAAGCTTGAAATCCTTCATCTGGGCCAGGTGATTGGTTCTGGTCTCTCCAGAAGGAGGACGGTGACCCACGGAGCGACGCTGGCCACAGAAGCACTTTGTACAGCATCTCAGCCTGCAGGGTTTTCCCAGCTGCACCCAGCTCACTGCAGCACCCAGAGCATGCCATCGTCTCTGGCGGCCTGTGGGAACCCACAGCTCCCTCCCACCCCTTTCCTGTGTGAGCTGGACCCTCCCAACACCTCTGTCCTTCTCTCCTGCCCGGCCACCTGCCCTTGCCCCCCAGGCAGGACTTTGCTCCCATCTGGAGTTCTGCTGCCTCCTGAGTCCCTTCTTGCCTAAAGCCTTCCTGACCCCCAAACTCCCCAAGGTTGTGCGAGGGTTGGTCTTTTCTGTGCCTTTGGTAGGATCCATGCTGGGAAAATACACATTGCCTGTGGCTCCAAGCTCTGTACCCAGATTATCCAGCCAGCAGCACCCAGGCCACCCTCAAACCTCAGGGCACGCGGCACCCAGGACCCACCCTGGAGCTTCCCGTGCCCTTCTGCCACAGGGCACTGCCGTGCACTGGATTGACACAGAGTGGCCTCCACTGGGGCGAGGCCTGGAGGCCTGTTCACCCTGTATGGGTCAGCGCTGTCCCCATCCCTAGGGGGCTGCCTCACCTTGAAGTTAACGTGCCCACTGGGCAGGTGGTTGGTGTGGATTTTGTGCAGGAAATAGATGTCCTTAACAAAAAGGTTGAACACAGGGATGACGATCTTCTCTCGGCTGCTGTTGGCCGTCTGGGACCTCTGTGTGGCCCCCTGCAGGGCCGTGCGGTAGTTGCAGAAGTTGCTGGATGGGTCCATGTGGTGCTGTGGGTGCACAGGAGCTTGTATGGGCAGCAGCCCTGGCACCCTTCACACCTGCTCTGGACCTGCCTTTGCAGAACATGAGCAACGGTGGAGAAGGCCTGTCCCCTGTGGGCGGCCCTGGACTGCAGAGGCCTTTCTAGGAGTGAGCACTGGGGAGGCTGAGCACCAGCCAAGGCCTCCAGGTTTGGGTCTGAGCACCATCGGGAACACCATAGGGAATTCTCACCAATGTCCTTTAAAAAGTATCCTTTAGGGGGCCTCCCTGGTGGCGCAACGGCTAAGAACACAGCACTGCAAGCTAGCTGTGGCTGCCTCAGTGCGAATTCAATTCCCGCCCCGGAGGTGACCCACATGGCAGTGGCAGACCTCTCCTGTCTCAACCGCTGCTCCCTTCAGCAGTGTACTTCATCAGTCGGCCTGTTCTGCTCCTCATTCTGTGTCTCGTGAATCTTCTCACCGCCCCTACACCTCTAGCCTGTACCCCAATTCTGTATGCATAAATAAAAAATCTTTTTTAAAAAATCCTTTATCCCATTGCTTAGACCTACACCTCCCAAACCTGACCAACTCCCCAAGACACGTGTTTGCCAAAATGGAGTCTGTGATCAAACTCGTCCGAGCAAGGCTGCACATGAACTCGCCTGCCAGCCCCTTGGCCACGAACCAAGTCCATGGGAAGCTGTCTGGGAAAAGGCCAGATCTCTGCTTAGCATCACCCAGTGCGGGGCTAATAGGCTCTTTTGTCAGGCTCTACTAACACTCCCTAGAACTCACTTTCAGGCAATGCCTCCTCTGACTGAAATCGCAAGAGTAGAGGAGGACGCAGCCTCACCCACCTCAGAGGGCAGCTTCACCGGCCAGCTTGATGTGCCCAACGCCAGAGGCACTGCAGGCAGTGGGTGCTGGGCCAGGGCAGAGCAAGACGGAGGTCCGCCCTCCCCAGCGCACACGGACGAGGCTGGCTACCTACCTCCAAGACATCAAACTTGGCCGTCTTGACCTTAGACCATGTTTTCTTCAGCCGCGCCACAGGACTGAGATTCATGCCAGCTGCAGGGGAGGGGGACAGCAGGGAAAATCAGGGCAGGGGAGGTGGTCCAGGCAGAAGCTGGGTGCCAGCCCTGGGGCCCCGACACTCACAAATGATGGCCATCATGGAGTTGAAGTTCCCGATGTTGAAACACTCCCGGGCCACATCAATGAAGAACTCCAGCATGCGAGTCCGGTGCTTCTTCTTCACCACCTGGAGGCAGCCCGATGGCCTCAGCGTGAGCCCCCACCCCAGCTCCTCAAGGGTGGCCTGGATAGGAGCCACCTTGGGGCCCACAGAGCTGCCTGACTGGGGACTGGGATGCTGGGTGTAAAGATGCTCATGAGCTACAAATGTGGGAAGCACAGCTATGCTCTGCCCACACTGGGGGGAGCAGCATGTGGGGGGAAGGGAACCCCACATGCATTGGTGGACCATGTAGGGCAGAGGACATACCCCACAGATGGGGGGCCCTGTTGTAATTTAAAGCATCACTGTTGGTGGGGGAGGGATGTTTTGTTGACACCGCTAAGGCCCTGGCAGTAGTCTTCCTGTCTACACTCTACTGGGGTCACATGGAGACAGCCTCAGAGCCTCACATCACACTCCTGTGTGTCCACGTGACACAGGCTTACCCGGCACACCTCGGTGGCTACCAGCATGCTAAGGCAATTGAACCAGTTGTCATAGGCCTCCAGGCTATAGGTCTTGGTCAAGTCCCCTCGGCACTGTGGGAAGACAGCAGGTCACAGGGAGCCCCAGCCCCATCCAGAGATGAGGCGTAAGAGCTGCAGTCAGAGGAGTAAGCCAGGAAGCCACTGGCGGTGGGATGAGAGTGGCTCAGCTGCCCTCCCTGCAGGCCCCTCCCTGTGGTTGTCCACTGAGCCCTGGGCTGATGCCAGGTGGTCAGACCCACGTCGACCGAGCTGCGGGATTGACCCCAGTACACTCAGGTCTGCAGGTGAGGCCCCACCCACCCTGCGGAGGGCAGGGCCCAGGTGTGTCTGCCACAGGCCACCCGCAGGACGAAGCAGCCCCTCACCCTGTGTTTGTCCCGGGCATCCATGTGGCTGACGATTTGCATCAGGTCCTCGGGGTGAATGCTGCTCACCCGCTCCTGGGATGGGAAGACACACGGGTGGTGATGAGCCTGCCGCCAGAGCTAGCCCCCCACTCCTGCACCACCCCTCCTTGATCTGCACCCAGCCAGGGGGCAGGCGCTGCTCGGGCCCCCTCAGCGCACCCTAGGCGTCTGCAAGGCCTTCTGGGAGGAGAGGGAAAGAGCTGTGTGGCAGGGAAGCAAAAGCCTTGGGCAGTGACGCCATGACGGGTGCCTGCCCGGCCCAGGGCACAGGACAGATGAGGTGACAGGGCAAGGGAACCAGTTCTCTCTCACGGAGTCCTTCACCGCCTTGCGGGGACTCTCATCACCCCAACCTCTCCTGTGTCCCTGGGGAATCAGGGCCCAGAAGAGCCCACAGCAGGTAGACGCACAGCCAGAGATGGCAGTCAGGACTGGCAAACAGACTCCCACTGACACCCCTGTCTGGCCAGCAAGAGAAAGATGCTGGGAGTCCCGTGCACCTGGGCGAGCAGCGGTCAGTGAACCCCAGTCTCACTCGGACGGGGCACCCGCAGCACTGACCAGCTCGATATGAGTCAGCTGCTGGGCCAGCACCAGGGGGTCACAGCACACGCCCAGGATGTCCTTCTGCGCAGCCGGCGGCTTGGCCTTGAGGACCGGCCCTTTGTCCACGGCCGGCGAGCGGAGCTTCTCCCGTAGCTCTTGAAGCTGATTCCGGGCAGCCAGGGACAGCAGCAGGCTCTGCGTCATTTGGGCAATGGCCTTCTTCACTGTGCCATTCTCCTGTGGAGGTCGGGGTGAGGGAGGGGCCGGCGTAGACTGCAGGTGAGACTACCACTTGTCCGGAGGCCCCACTTCATCTTCAGTGACGAGCCTGCCTTTGTGGCCAGCTAGCTGCTTCCCAGAGCCTTCCCCGCAGGTGAGATCAGGGAGGGAAGAGGTTCTCCCAGCCAGGAAACTTCACTCTCTGTATAGGGGAAGCCACGCCTCCCACCCCCCCACACACACACAAAACTCCCCCTGTTCTCGATGAACCCTCTGGGCAGATGAGTTCTGAGTGCACCATTACGGGACTAGCCAGCCAGGTTCCCTCCCCCCACTCTCCTGCAGCCAAGAACAAGCTGGAAGCCAGGAAAGGCTGCAGGCTCTCACACTTCTCTCTAGTCCCCATCCCACCACCAAGCCCAAGAGAAGCGGGGGCCTGGACTCCTTCCACTGCTCCAGGCCTCCTGCACAGAAGATGCCCACAGGCCAGTCTTCATGGGGCAGTGACAGCAAAAGGAGTCACAGTGTCCCTGAAGACTCACCTCCCTTTGTGAGTATAACCCTCCCCACCCCCCACACACACACATGTTTTAGGGGCCAGGAAGATCTCACCTCGTCACACTGTGTGACCCGGTGGGTGATGGCCTTCAATTCGGCCATGGCCTTCTCATCCTGGAAGTCACAGGGGAAGGCCTCTGTCCACTCCTTCAGCAGCTGCACGATCTTGGCAGAGAAGGACTTCAGCTTGGCCTGGGCGGTAGGGGAGAAAATGAGGTCCATCCCTCCAGAGTGGACAACAGGTCAGCACTGTCCCCCTAGGCCCCACACCCCCAGGCCACCGTGTCCACCTGCAGTTTTGTTCCAGCTGCTTTGTTACATATTCCCCTTAAGTTGGCTCTCTTCAAGAAACCTCCCCCATCACTACCAGGACAAAGAAAATTAGTTTCATTTGTTGTAATTAGAAGTAGCCCATAAAACAGGCCCTCCCTGGTGGCGTAATAGGTTGAAGCACAGCACTATGAAGTTCTCCACAGACACTGCAGCACGAGTTCAATCCCCGGTCAGGGAGGTGACCACATGGCACAGCAGATCTCTCTTGTCTTGCCCGCTGCTCCCTTCAGCAGTGTACTTCGTGGATCTGCCTGTTCTGCTCCCCACTCTGTCTCTGGTGAATCCTCTCACTGCCCCTGCACCTCTGGCCTGTACCCCAGCTCTGTATGCATAAATAATAAATCTTAAAAAAAAAGGAGCCCATAAAAAGAGCAGAGTGAAAACCAAGCAAAATTAATGGTTACAAGACTCTTGCCTGGCCCTTTTTGGTTAGAAGAAAGTTGCAAGTGCTGGGAAGAGGCCCTCTCCCACTCTAGCATCACTAAAGGTGGTCTGGGCACCCTGCTGTGGCCACCATCCTAAGTCTGGGAGGGGAAAGACCCCCGCACCCCAGCCTGTCCGTGCCCAGCCCCCACTCTCCCACCAAAATGCCTTCTATGGCCATATGGGCTCTTCTTCGACCCCGACCAGCTGCCTGCACCTGCCAACTGGTAACTGGTGGGTCCAACTCCCCCTCCCTGCATCTTCCTGTGCCCCTCCTCAGCATGTCATCCAATCTGCAGGACTACATACACATACCCCAACACCCCCCACCCCGGCAGGACCCCTGCAGTGGCTTCCCAGATCTGGCAGAGCCCCCACCCAGCCCTCCCTGGCCCCCAGCAGCCGCACCTCCCCCAGAGTCCTGCGCACAGTGTCCCAGCAGGACTGCTGATGTTTCCCCCCAGAAGCACAGCACCCACCCTCAGCTGGAGCCAGAGCTCTGCATTCCCTCCCACGGGAGTGTCCCACTGTGCCTGTCACTCTGACGCTGGCAGGCTCTGCCCAAGCTCTCCTCCAGCTTCTACAGTCTCCACTCTGGCCTCAGCCGCAGGCCCCACCCAGCCCTGGTTATCACCCATCCCTTCAGGAGCCTTTCCTGACCCCAGGCTGCAGCCGGGCCTGTCTGTATCCTGCCCAGCAGCACCCTGGGACAGGCTCCCTTTGGAAAGGAGACTGAGGAGGGAGGGGCATCCTTAGGCCTCTGCTGCAAAAACCTCTGTAAGGGACAGGTCTGGGCTAGTGACAGGAAGACCATCAGCAAAATGGGGCAGGCTGTGCTCCGCCGAAGCCACGACTAGGCTGCCAGCCCTTTACCATGTGGCCACCACCCCTTCTCCTGCTCCATGCCCTGGACTTCTGCGGGCCTCCCCCAAGCCCCTGCCCAGCTGTGGCTGGACCCTTCTGGCAGCCTGGAGCTTGGCTCAATCAGAAGAGACAACCATGGTTAAGGGGCCACTGAGCATCCTGGGAGCAGGCTCCAGCCCGGGATCCACACCTGAGCCTCCTTAGAGGGCGTGACCCAGCCCCGCAGGCTTTTCCACCACTTGCAGTTAAACCCTCTATTCTAGGAGCCTGAGCTCTGATGGGGGGGGGTCACTGGAGAGCTCTCTGCTGGGGAGGAAGTGGGAGCACCCGCCAACTGTTGTTCCAGCACCCCGGCAGGTGTGTTCTGCTCTGCAGGCCCCTCCAGACCCTCAGGGCCATGCCCAGGTGTGCCAGTTGGCAGAGACAAGCCTACCTGCCCATGAGGGAGGCCCCCACTAGCCTGAGCTAAACCCTGTCCTGCCGCTTCCTCTGATCATAAGCACCCAGCAGAGAGCGTCCCAGGGCATGGAGAGCAGCGCCCACCGGCCAGCGCCTCACCTTCTCGGGTCCAGCCTCCAGGTGCTGCCTCTGCTCCAGGCAGATCTGCCCCACACGGGCCAGCAGGTCATGAGGGGGGATGAAGACCCGAGAGCTCAAGAGAAACGTGAAGATGTATGTCCTCTAAAGAGATGAGAAGGGAGAGAGGGAGGGAGGAGGGGTCAGGCCTGGTTGCAGGGCAAGGCGGGGCCTCCTTGCGCCCCTGGGACCCGGCAGGGCAGCGGGGTGCTGTGACAACTGTGGGTCTCGGCCCTGCCGCACCGGGGCCCCCATGCCCTTGTCACAGGCTGCGTGGCGCAGGTTCTAGGGGTCCTCGCCATCTGGACTGACAGGTGCAGGGGTTATCAGAAAGCTGTGCCGGCGTGGACCAGTGCCCGTGGGGCCTCACGGCGTCCTGCCTGTAGACAGAATGCACTGTGGTCGGGGAGGCTGCTGGGGCTCTCCCGGGTACCCCACCCCTCTGAGACATCGCTCTGCCACCAAACAGCTGCTACAGAACACTCCGCCCCACTGTGGGCCCAGGAAGCAGGCCTGCCTCCCCCAGCACAGAGCAAGCCAGGCCGCGGCTGCCGGGAGCACAGGTCTCATGGGACACCATCCGGGCCTCAGGCCCTCGCTGACTCTGGGGGAGGCTCTCCCTGGGGCGGCAGGGGTCCCCTAACACCCTTGCCCACACACTTCCCAGGCCCAGTCCCCGCCCATGTGCAGCATGGGTGCTCAGGGGTCCCCCTTCTAAGCAGACATCTCAGCGGCAGGGCACCCAGGCAGCACACCAGAGTCCTTAAGCAGAGGCAAGAGGAGCCAAGGGAGGACCTCTCTGAGGAGCACGGAGACTCACCGTGGCATGTGTGTGCCCAGCTGCCCACACACACAGGGTGGTGGCAGGGAGGGGAAGATTGGAGACCCCAGGAGCTGGACACTCCAGCTGCCCCGTCCACCCCCACCTGCCCTTTGCTCTCCGCTGGGAAGCAGGCAGGGATCTCGGCACTGGGTTTTGGGGGACAGTAGCGGAAGAGTACACCACAGTAGCCGGTGCTAAGACAGGAGGTCACTGTCTCTGGAGTGTCACGCCCAGGGCCGTGGGTCCCCCCCACCTTTCTGGTTCTGCCACTGGGGCACTCAGCTGCCAGCCAGGGCCTGGCAGGCTTATAGGATGGACAGAAGGACAAGGAGAGGACGGAGCCCCAGGAGGGAGGAGGCCTGACATGGGGTGGGGGCACAGGAACTCCCAAGGCAGAGCTCTGCCCTCAGTGGGGCGCTGGTGCCATGGCTGGTGCAGACGGGCCCACGGCCAGCACTGCTGACAGGTACAACCTGCTGTGGGCAGAAGGGAGTCCACGTACGACGAGGAACTTTCTCTCTGTTCTAGGAATGCACCAGCTTTGTCTTGAGATGGTGAAGGACAAATAAGTTCTGCGAAGGCCAGCCTGCCCGTGTGGCTGTGTGCCCGGGGGTGCGTAACCCCTGGTGTGACGGGGCTGCCCCTCCTCACTCTGCACTGTGGCGGTCAGTGTACAAAGTGCACTTCCCAGCTCAGAGACAGGACACGCTGGGTGGACCTTCATCAGAACCCTGGTCTCCCCCAGAATGCAGCCCCCCAGTATCTGCTTCCTTGTGTCACTGCAGCTATCACCCCCCTGCCTGAGGGCAGCAGGGAAGTCACTGCAGTGTCCTCAGCCTAGGCTGGGCGTGGGGTACGGAGCAGGCAGCAATGAAGGCCGAGAAAGTGGGAGCAGGGGCTCCTCCAGCTCCCTGGCCAGCTCCTGCTGCCCCCTCTGCTCAGTCTCCTTTCCCACCCCAGAGTGAGCTCCCTGGAGTCCAGGTGGCCCCGCAGTCACACCCTCTCTAGGCCCCCGGTACTCACATCGGGGTAATAGTCCACTGTGGGGACCAGGTGCTCCATCAAGGCCTCCAGGGACCCGGAGATGAGGCGTCCATCCTGGAAGATGAGGTCCGCAGAGCCGCCGGCCCCTCCACCTCGCTCCCCCATGCCAGGCTGCACGTGTCCACTACAGCTGGGCCCGAGGATGCTGGAGAAGACCACAGACGTCTGGGGCATAGTTTCCTGGGAGAGAAGAAGCAGGCATCAAGGGTGCCCCCTCGGGCCACGTGGGCTCCGTGGATACAGGTGTCTGTGGAGGGCCCCAGGAGGCTTGGGAGGGGAACCCCTGAGGTGGCAGAGGCAGCAGGCTCCTTGGTGGTCCCACAACTGCTGTGATCTGATGATGTTTCTGCAGCACCTGCTTTGCATGCCTCAGGCCTCCTCTGTTTGTCCAAGGGGACTGGACACCCCAGTAGGAGCAGAGATGCTATAAGGAAACACAGCACTGGGGGAACACCAAGGACATAAGGGATCGAGGTAGCTGTGAGTAAGATGGCACCGGAACTAACAGCATTATCCAGGGATGGGAGAGGAACATTCCAGGCACTGGGCAGGTGCTGAGATCCTGAGCCTTGTGCCTGATAGGAGGGTCAAGGAGCCGCTCAGGGTGCAGTGATGTTCCCAGCACAGGAGTGACCTGACTCGGGCTGAAGGTCCCCAGGGGCGCTGTGTAGAGACCCAGCAAGGAAGGACGTGAAAGTCAGCTGGGGCGGTGAGGGGGGGAAGGGGGGTGCGTGTTGCATAACCCGGGGAGTGACAGTAGAGGCAGGTAGTAGCAGAGGAGACGGCAGGGCAACTCGGGGCCCTGGAAAGTGCGGTTTGGGTCTGAACTGACAGCACTGGCAAGTGGGGAAAGATCTGGAACTCGCTTTGGATACGCTGAATTTGAAATGTCGGTTAGCCAGATGTGTGGGGTTCAGTGCCCCCACAGTTGTCCTGGCAGTGTGGCAGCAGCTGAGCACCCCACTTCATGATACACCTCGTGCTGGATACGTTTCCGAGCCCTGGAGAATCTGTAGCCCTCTGGGCTTCAACTCCCCATTGCCTGAGGCAACTGGCTCTCCTGAGAGTTGCTGGGCAGCATCAGGGTGACCCATTGGTCAGCCCAGGTGTGGTCCACACCTTTCTCACCCCTGGAGGGCAGGCCACTGAGGTCAGGGCGGAGGAACTGGGCCTTCCTGCTGCGGCAGCACGGTGCCAGGCTGCCCTTCTGGGCACCTCCAGCAAAGGCAGGCTCGCACTGGCACCTGCCTCCCCAGTCTGTTCTGACGGGGACAGGGGGCGCCTCAGAGCCATACTGGTCTGTTTTCCCATTGTGCCAAGGCAAACAGTAGCCATGATTCTTCTATTGCCTTCAGAGGACTCAGGCCTTGCCATCCAAGGGCTTCCTTCTCTGGACACTAATATTTAGAACCCTATTTAAATGCGGTCAGGAGGCTAGAAAGAGAATCCCATGCACACACCTCAGCAAACTATTCGACCCAATAAGCTTCGCATTTTCCATGAGACAAGATGCTGTTGCTGCCCGCATTGGGACTGAGAAAGGGTCCTCCACAGGTATATGGGATGGTTAGCTTTGGATTCCAGGGGCACACTGGGTCTTACCATGAATGCTCTCTCCTACCTGCCCTCTTCTGTTCTGCACTGAATAAACCCTGTTTCTGATTACTTTTGTTTGAGGCCACAAGCAGAGCCAACTCCCACCCACAATCAATCACTGAGCCTTCCAGAAGGGAAAGGCTCAAAGCAGCCCAAACAACACAGGTGCCCCTGACAAACACCTGAAAATCACCTTAGAATTCTCCAAAAATCCCTTGTAAGAAAGACAAGAGCTCACAGGATATTCCCAGGGCAAGGCTGGAATGGGAATGTCCCATGCTCAACACAGGGGAGGGAGCTGGAGTCAGGTGGTACATGGCCAACTCTGGACCCTGCAAGATAGTCTTGGGTCTGAACGGATGGCATGAGAAGAGTAAATGGGGCTTGGGGGAAGATATAGAACTCTCTTTTGGATGTCTGGGTGCTCCTAGACCCAGCTGTGGGTTGACCATCCCCACCCTACAGGATGGAGGGTTGCATTCATAGAACATTCCCCTTTGCACATTCTCAGGCCCCGACATGTAAGGAATGTGGCAGGCCCTCCTGGAGGTTCTGATGCCACTGAAATCAGAGAACCCCTACTCGACCAAACCCTTCATTTTTCAGATGATGAAATGGTGCTTCAGCATGACAGAATTCAACTAAAAAAAGCCTAGGGTTTCCAAGCCCAAGAAGTCACCGCCTCAAGGAAGCCCTCCTTGATTAATCCATAGACTACAGACCCACAAGGCTGGAAACAGTAGGTCTTTCCTCCAGCCCAGGGCAGTGCTCAGGGAGCATATGTGGGATGAAATAACAAAAGTGGGTACCCTGAATACCTCAGTTCCTGCAGGTGTACTGCTGTGCAACCACTGACACAGGAAGGGACTTGAGCCCCAGCAGATTATCTGAGGCCCATGTGCTGCAAGGCATTCTGGGTTCAAAGGGTGACTATAGGATAGTAACCTTTGTTGGCTGGGCCTCCTGACTAAGCGGTCATCGAAGTTTGTATTTTCCAAGCATCTGGCCTCTGGCTGCAGAAGCAGCAGGGTGCTCTGGCCTGGAGCTACCACAGCAGGGCTCAAAACACCCTACTAACTCTCATAGCGTTTGCCCCATCCCCCACAGGCTCAGGCCACCCAGGCTGTGTCCAGCCAGCAGGGAGACCTGCCCCAGTGGCCTGTGGAGCCAGTGGAGAGGCAGCCTGGAGCCTCGTTCCCATGCTGTGCTGTCCACGAGGGATGGGCAAGCCAGCAGGATGTGCCAGCTCTGTGCCAAGCTTTGGCCTGCAGCTGTACCCTGGGCACCTCAGCACTCACTACATCCATGGACAAGTGGGGGACACGTGCTCAGGGCCCAGTCACCCACCCCATTTACATGTCCTGGGCAGCCACAGAGCTGTACTTCTCGTGTGACCTTGACCAGTCCTGGACTCACTGCTCTGCTCCTGCTCCTTCCCCAGTCCGCCCAGTGACAAGGGGGGTGGGGGGAAGGGACTTGTGTCCACCCATACCCTGCCTGTGCAAGGAAGAAACAGCCTTCAGTTTGGGGCAACCGGACTCCCCAGATGCACAAGATCTCACACTGGTCATTAAATAGCATCGATGTAAGTGCAGAGAAGACACGTGCCTGGCTGCACTGACAGCAGACTTGACTTCTGGGAAGATGAGGGTGTGGAGGCTTTTCACTTTCCACTCCACGTATTGTAAACTACTTGGTAACTTTTCTGAAGAGAAACCAGAGTATGTACTTGGTAACTTTTCTAAGCAGCACATCTGTCATTACAATACAGGTTGAGTTTCAAGATCAGCACTTTTTGTAAAACCACATTGGAGAGACTAAAGGCCCAGGGCCAGGCCCCTGGACTCCATCTACTGTGCCACCTGGGAAGGTGGGCTTATCCCAAGCCCCCACAGAGAATGGACAGAGCCCACCGAGGCACTGAGATGCGTCCTGGGGCAGGGTCTCCCTGACCTGGTGTCCACCCACAAGTCCCAGTTCACCGGTGCACCTCGCCCGTAGGACCCCAGAGACTTCCAAGAGCCCCTTCCTTTGTAGTACCTAACAGAGTCCACCCTGCCTGGCCACTGCACCTCAGAGATGTTCTCCAGGCTTAGCCACAAGGGAGGTAGTAGTTTCCCCAGCAGGACCTCCTGGGAACGTAGGGCACCCTTGGGTTCAAATCACAGCTCTACAACAGAATAGCTCCTGTTCCCAGACAAAGCCAGACAGCCTCAATTTGTCCAGCTGTTAGTGGCATGGTGGCCGGCCTACCCCTGCTGGGCCCTCTGCCTGGCACCTCTCCATAGGCCTCCACTGGGGCCCATGGTCCAGTGCACTTGCCAGTGGGGTCCACTTGCTATTGTAAGTGGGGTCCCATTCCACCAGCCAGCCAGAACTGAACCCGTTTGTCCACCACCTGTCCACTGGCCCGTCGCAGGGAGGAGCCCCTCAGAGCTGAGCAGCTGGGGAGTATAAGCTCCTGTCTCTGGAAGGAACACAGCAAGAAAGCAAAACCATCCCAAGAAAACAACAGCTAAGACTTGGAGCACCTGGGGCCTGCTGTCAGTGACAGTGATGCTAGAGCGGAATGGTCTCATCAAGCCTCACACTTTTCCCAGAGAGAAAACACTGCTCTCCACACCCGCAGATGAAGACAAGACACAGGGAAACTGAGCAAGCACCGCGGTCACACGGCCATATCACAGCAGGGCTGGATGGCAGAGGCCGCCAACAGGGAGACCTGGGACTGTGGCTTTATCAGAGCCTCAGTCTGCTCATCTGTGCAGTGGGTCCAGGGAGCATTAGAGACTCCCTGGGAGAATTAAGGGAGCCCTCCTTGTAAAGCAAAGGGACTCACCTGCCCCTGAGGGGCCCCGACTCCCAGACACGCTGCTGGGTGTCCCCTGCCGGCCACGTGGACGCGCGCAGGCGCGCACACACAGAGAAGCGCTGGATTACAGCGGACACGCAGGCCGCTGAGCCCCAGCCCCTGTGGGCTGCTCTGAAAGGGTGCGGCGTGGGAGCCACCGCCAGCACCACCTGGGCCCTGGGACAACGAACCCTCCAAGTCTGGATTCACCAGCCTGGAGCTTTATGTTCGCTCCCAACGCTGCCTGCTCCTGCGTGACCCTGAGCAGCAGCGCCACCACCTGGTTGTCTGTGAAATGCAAGCCCTGGCCGGCTAGCTCAGGCCCTGCGGCCAAGCCAGTGTCTCGGCTGGACGTGCTTGTCCCTGGAGAGCTGTAGCCTCCAGCTGAGGAGAGCCTACTTCACCAAGGCCAGAGCCCCCCGGCTTTGTCCGCACACCAGAATCAACTGGGGCGTCTTAAAAAAAATTCCTTTTTCGGGCTCTCCCTGGTGGCACAATGGGTTAAAGCACTGCATTATGAAGATCTCGGAAGCCACTGCAGCATGAGTTCCATCCCTGGCCAGGGAGCTGACCCACATGGTGTGGCAGACCGCTCCTGACCCGCCCGCTGCTCCCCTCAGGAGTGTACTTTGTCAGTTGGCCTGTTCTGCTCCCCACTCTGTCTCTGGTGAAGCCTCTCACCCACCACACCTCTGGCCTGTATCCCAGTTCTGTAAGCATAAATAATCTTTTG